TTGGCCAGTCCACTTCTGACTCCAGTGTCCACATCATTAATGAAGATGTTGAACAGTATGGGTCCAAGGACAGAGCCCTGGGGGACACCACTGGTCACAGGACACCACGATGAATGACTTCCATCAATTACTACCCTCTGGGTCCAACCCCGGAGCCAGTTTTCCAGCCAGTGGATCGTGGAGGACCCAAGGGGACAATTGGCCAGTTTCTCTAAGAGGTGATTATGGGAAACCAGGTCAAAGGCTTTTTTGAAGTCAAGATATATGACATCAATCTCTTCTCCCTTGTCCAGGTGATAGGTCACCTGGTCGTAGAAGGAAATGAGATTGGTCAAGCAAGACCTACCCGCAACAAACCCATGCTGGCTATCCCTTAAGATGTTGGCGTCGGCCAGTCCATTAAGGATGGCCTCTTAATGTGTACATCCCCCAAAATGTTTGATTCCCTCTCCTTTTCTACTTTTTTTTTCCATCTAGACAAACCACGTATCAGTACAGTTTGATAAAGTGGGTTCTTTCAAGGACCTAAATATATTCTTTCTAACTTGTATCACCAGTTGTTGGGTCTGGGCAACATAGAATTAGCTCTCCTACACAGACACTACATTTCTCAACTCCCATGTAGAGCACAAAGGCACTGAAGCAACCTGAGAACTGGACCTAGTCTCAGCACCAAAAAAAAAATGACTCACTATCTGTAATAACTATCATCACCTAAAACTTCAAATCTTCAAGGACAAAGTCATCTACAGTTATGCATTATTTTCAAGTACATTATACACTCCGCCCCCCTCCTGCCAAAAAAAAACTGGATTTCAATAATGCCAGTAAATAATTTTATATTTTCATCTTCTAACCATACAGTAGGATCCACTTCATCAAGATTGTACACCAGGTGGAAAGCCTTTTGTTTCTTCAGTGACTCTCAAAATTAAATTTTCTGAGCAAGAAGAGAATAAGTTAATCCCTCCTTTTAGTCTTGTGTATGAATGTGGCCTGCAATTTGTAAGCAGAAATGAAGCAAAGCAAAAACAAAACTAATTTTCCTTGCTGCCAATGTTACCTGCTCAAATCATGTCTAACATTGTTTTTAGTGAAAAATGCAGTTCCAAAAAGAAATCTCTCTAATATTGTAAGCCTGGGTTTATGCCACATAAAGCTATTGCTATTTCAACTATTTTGGTTTATGTATTGCATTAAAAAGCCAGTGTATTCTGTAATGAATCTCTGAAGGCTATTTACTAAATATGTTTTACATCACAGCCTAGAAAACTATAAACTAAGGACCTATAATTGTGTCTGAAGTAACTGTAAGGTTCTTTCAGTCTGGCTGTACAAAATATTTGAGCTCTGCCTCTGAGGGTATGTTTCACTTGCTAATTTGTCTTGCTAATTTGTTGCCAGGCCTGATAGTTTCTATTTTCTGAGATACTCAAAACAGCCACTTCGTTTTTAGATACTAAGGCCCCTGGCAGACATTTAGCTTTTTTACACATGCAAGTGCCACAGCACTAGGCACTTTGAAAAGTGGCATGCCCGGCGCTGTGACACATCCAGTTGTATAAGTGGCAAAGTGTGCGTCAGCACTAAGAAAATGGCAGCAGTGCACTTTTAAACTAAAACACGTAGAAGGTACTTTAGTTCAAAAGCACGCTGCCACCATTTTCTGCATGCTGACATGCATTTCACTGCTTATACAGCTGCATGCAGTGCAGCACAGTTCACATCAGCTCGTGTATGGAGCAGACTCGATTAATCAAGTCTGCTCTGAAGCGGCAGACCTCCAGTGCATAATGGGACAAAAAAGTATGTGTATAAATGCCCATTATTTCCATCAAACAACAGATAATACCATTTGATGGAAACTGTCATGCCATCCCAGAGAGGAAAAAAGTGCCCTGGGAGCTTGCTTTGCCAGGACTTGCCAGCAAGAGGAGCTGGAAAGCTGCTGGCAGGGGCAGTCAGCCCTTCGGCCCTCTTTTCATCTGTGCTGGGAATGAAAAGTCAGCTGGGCTCCCCTTGGGTAAAGGAGCTGCTCCCCCAAACCTTGCACAGGCTGGAGGTGGAGAGGGCAGGACCAGCAAGGCTTGAATTCTACAGGAACCTTCCGAGGTGCTTGTCTGCATGTGCTTGTACTGCTCACAGGTTTCTGAACTCTCCCTCCCACCCTGTCAAACAAATCAAGTATTAGGGCTGCTCGAAATTTCACCAGCAGTTTCATTTCGACGCTGTTTCTACTTGTTTCAAGCTCAAAACAGTGAAATTGAAACTAAACAGAGAGCTTCGAAATGGCCTCGAAATGAAATGAGGCAAGTCAAAACATTTTGAAATGTTTTAAATGTTTCGAGTTTCGAAGCTCAAGCTGGGCTTGCCTGCAGGGAAACAGAAACTAAAGTAAGGAGAGGGAGGGGGAAGAGAGGGGAAGGACTGCTCTCATTATTGACTGTAGCTGGCCAGTGACTGTCATCCTTCCCTGAGATCCCTTCCAATCCCAGTGCTCTGGGGGAGGGATGGAAAAACTGCATAAAAGGCACTATTGTCTGAACTGCCCTGCTTTCTGCCTTGGTGTCAGTTGAGTGAGGGTGCACTTTAACACACACACAATGTCACCCACCCATGTCACGAGTGTTGCCTGTCAGCAGCTAGGGGTGCAGGGCCCCAGAACCCAGACTCCCCCTGCACCTATCTCCTTGACAGTTGGCAGGCTTCGTGGCTGCAGCAGGGGCTAGCATGTCTGCAGGTTTGACCCTACTGTGGCTTAACACATACATGTGACATGAGTTTTTTGCTTTCAGGACTTTGAGGCACAGTTTCCCTGACCCCCTGCACCTATCTCCTTGACACTTGGCAGACTTCATGCCCTCAGAAGGGGCTACCATTCCTGCAAGTTTCATCCAAATCAGGCCAGAAATGACAAAGTTATAGGCTGTTTCATGCTTCCCCATTATAGCCTATCGGCAAAATGTCGAAACAGAGAAACTGTTTCAACAAAACGAAACAGAACAGTGGTTTTCAACTGAAACGAAATTTGAAACAAAATGTTGTTCCATCAAAACGGAACGGTGCCATTTTGCACAGCCCTATAAAGTATGGTACTTGAGTGTTTGTTTACACCTTGTCTTTCACAAAGAGGTGATAATGGTTTCTTAAAGAAGGTGTCAGGGGTCTTACTCCTTTTTATGCGCTGCTTTCCACATAGCAAATAGAAATGGCTACATGATGCGGTCTCACTTTTAAGTCTCATGCAAAACAGCAAAGGCTTTATCTGTACCGTCTCACAACATTACTGTTTAGCAGCTTTAAAGTGTATCCTTTATATTTTCCCCATCTTGTAATATTCCTGTATTGTACAAAACAGTTCTTCTAGCCTGTGATAAGTAGATCCAGAAAGAGCATTCAGGTACACTAAAGGCAGTTTATAGAGAAATTCCATAGAATTTAACACATGCTTCACTTTGCAATCATTGGGTGTTTATAGATGTGATCCAGGAAGTAGGGGGGGTGGGGAGTTTTAATTAGTGAGCCACCACATGTGGGCACCAGATGTATCAGTGTCCCCATGCTGAAAAATGGTGGCAGGGCATCTTAAACTAAAACTCATCAAACGAGCTTTAGTTTAAACCACCCTGCCACCATTTTTCAGCATGGGGATGCTGATACACGTGATGCTGGAGGCTGCTAGAGCATGTTAATTTCCATGCTCCAGCAGACTCGATTAATCGAGTAGCCATAGCACAGCTGTAGCCATAGCTCAGCTCAAACTCATCTCCTTTACAGTGCCATTTATTTCAGTAGGGCTACATCTCTGTAACTGAGTGGCAAGGTTGGCCCAAACCCAGCAAGACTCTTTTTATAGAAAAAGAAGAGAAAGCTACAACAGGCAAGACTTCAACCACAACTGGCATTTCTCAACCTAGCACAGAGTAAATTACTAATTATTTAGAACAGGAAACTGGAATTTTATCATTTTCTATTCTGTTTTCCAAATGTTGCATCTGGCACATTTTAATTGCATCTTCATCCTGTTTTCTTCCATTAAGGCAAATGAGATGCTGCTTTTCAACAAGAAGCTGACTGCAAGGGAAGCTTGTGCTCAGGGACTTGTGACTGAAGTTTTTCCTGACCAAGTTTTTCAGGAGGAAGTCTGGAGAAAGCTGAAAGCTTTTGCAAGTCTCCCCAAAAATGTTGGTATTAAACTTATGTTAAACTCTTTGCATACATACACTGTGCATGTAGGCACCCACCTATGAACTCAGTCAGCAAACCATTAGTCCTTCTCCATTCTCTCTTGGGCTAGGTACAGATGTTTGAGCAGGTTAGGGGGAGGTTAGATTGCATTTAAAATGACCACCCAATCTTACTTAATTTTCCCAAGTGAGGACCTTGCACTTAGATCCCTAGTTAGGTCAAGCTAAGTGTGAACTGCCCAGAAGTTCAGGAAGGTTCGATTAGTCTAAAAATGAATGACCCAATCTAATTCAACCCTACCTCAGAGGTAGGGTGACTTAGTTCAGGTCCAGAAAGACTGTCCTAACTGAACTTCTGTACAGTATCCAGGGCAGTCCTGGCTCTGGGAAAGCCTAGCCACTAGCCCCATCCCCAGGGCTGCAATTTTCCTATCCTCAACCTTAACACTGGACTATTTTTAGCCCCTCAGCCCCTTGCCCCATCCCACACAGACAACCTTCTCCCATCTCACAGACCAGCCAGCCTGTGCCCCAGCCTGCCCAAGCCTGCCAACCTCCCCACCACAGACATCCCACAGGCTATTCCTGGTGCTGGTTTTACCAGTATCTGCTGGTGCTGGGAGCTGAGGAAGTAATTTGGGATGGACAGGAAGGGGAAGGGGAAGGGGGAGGTGGGCTGGCTCGCATGGGGGGGGCGGTTCCTCTGGGGATAGGGGGTGAGAAGCTAAAAAAAGCCCCTGGTCCCCAGGTAGAAGAGGCCCACCCATCAGATCAACCCCCAGCCACAGAGCTGCCACCCCCTGGTCTGCCCACCCCTCCCCCCATCCCAACTTACTTCAGTCAGGCTTTAGAGATCTTGTGGGGAGGGCTGCAGGGGTCTGCGTTGGAGTTGGTAGGAGAGCCTCTCCAATCCTCGCAGCTCCCCTGATCCTGCCAAACCCTCCTGAACCCTGCTAGTCCCTTCCCCCATCCCCCCTAACCCCTCTGCAGACCCTACTAATCCCACCAAGCCTCCTTTCAACCCCACTAGCCTTCCCCATCCCCCAAGCCTCCCCCATGGACCCTGCTTGCCTCCAAGCCCTCCCACTAGCCCCCTCCATACTGACTTACTTTAGATTAGGTGGCCATTTTTAACTCAATTTGACCTCCATCTAACCTCCCTGAATGTCTGCATGTACCCTTGAGGTGGCATATGAGTTACTTAAGATTCATAAGTGTCGTGGAAACACACGCAGCATACTTTTGGGTCAGGTCAGCAGAAGCTTTTATTTAAAAGAAACTACAGCTGTAGGGGGGACTCCAAAGTGACATGGATTTCCCAAGCACTTGGAAGGGGTCCCCCCCAAGAGCAAAATCAGGAGGCTTATATACTTTTTAACAGTTGCTTACAACTCACGTGATCATATAGTGAAATTAGAATGAAAAACGGCTATAATATTACTTCATTATTTCTTTGCTGTAATCAGGATGGGAACTAATGGGGGAGGCGAGGTTAGTTCACAAACCTCCTTCTTGCACCTGGAAATCAGATTTGTACATACTTTTTTGCTATCTTCAAGGCCGCGGTGAGCGAAGCAGTTGCAGAGGAGTTACAAAGAACAAACACTTTCTTTTATCTGTTCTACTATATAGAGCCAGCAATTCTCCACAAAGCGGTTATGTCATTTTATAACTAAAATAATCAAAGTTTAAGGCAGATATTTTTTCTGATTTCACATAAGAAAAGTCACCTTTCCTCCATCTTATTCACCTTTATCATTTTAGTCAGATACTCATTTTCAAAAGTATAAAACCCATTTTCAATATAGCAGTCAACTTTAATGTGCTCTATGACTGAGGTTATCATAAATAACCAACTCAACCCAATTAAAGAGGTCTGTTTCTCAGAAGATGTCAGCATCTTCTGATGAAGCTACCTTTGTTTAAGTGGTTGGACATGAAGGCATTAATGATTTTTGCAGACCATGGCCTTTTCGAACAACATATGGTAATCACAAGGGTAATAAACATCTTTGCTAGCTTTATTAGTTTTAACAAGCAGGTCTAGTAAAAATGACCAGGTGTGTTCATTTTATAAACAGCAGGCATTTACAGACAGCCCCACAATTCGATATTTAGGTTTCAATTATTAATAAGCTGTTATTTAAATAGATAATTATTAATTAATCAAAATACCTACTGGCCTAGTTCTACTGATTAAGTGAAACATGAGATGTCCCCAGCAAGTCCACAGCAAAAGCAACACAATTTTTTTTACCTTATTCTGGCAGCAGCCCAATTCACAATTCCTTATGCAAATTATTCCTTAAGAAAGCATGAATAGTTTGCAAGTGGAGTTGTGTGTAGGTGTCACTAGTAGTCTTTGATGTCATAGTTCAATTGATTTTATAGCTCGGTATTTTCTAGTTCACTGTACAATACTGAGTGTGTAGTATCTGGAGAGAGGTGTGCTACCAAGTTTAGGCACACAGGACTGGAAGGGGCCACTGGGTGATTAGATCCCATTTCCTATAATCACAGGCAACTAAGAAATAGCAATTATGTCCAAAAGGATCTGAACAGGATTTATTAAACAGGTCCCAAACCCCCTAGGCTCAATCCCAGAATACCTTATATAACTTTTCCATAGTCCTAACATGACATCAAAACTTTAAGGTAAATTTATGAGTTACAACTTCCAAAGGACTCCTAAATTAAGACCTTACACATTAATAGTATATTTGGTCTTTGTAAAGGTTGATAGTATTACATGAGATATTTGAAACAGGAAAATGAATAATTCAAATAGAACAGAATTCTTATATCAAGGCCAATCAGGAAGATCGGAAATGATCTAAAATTATCTAATTGAGGAGACATAATAGGTAGAAGTCAGACCTGACTTAAGTAGGTGCAGTTTAAATGTCATGCCAACTCCAAATTTGGCCTAAAGTTCAAAACTGCAGTTTGTCTTCCCTGGATATTGCTTTATAGTTACAGCAGTATATTAAACCAGTGGTTGGCAGTCTTCAGAAGCTCTGGGCTAGAAGGACCCCATTCAAGTCAGAACTGGTAGGTGCTAAGACCCAGATGCTGTCACCACTTCTACCCTGCATAGGGTAAGTGCTTACTGCTACTACTTCTCCCCACTGTGGCACGGGCGAAATGCAGCCGCTTCAACCCACCATGGCATGGGAGAAACGCCCACCAAATGCTGCTGAAGTCCCACATCCATGGGATGGATCCAGTGGCTTTGGGGGCTGAACCTGATCCATGGGCTGTAGGTTGCTGACCCCTGTATTAAACACTTGCATAACAATATTATATGCCCAGGTGAGGGAAATTAAATAGAAACTGACCTCAACATTTTCAAGTAAGATTTTCAAAAACCACCAAAAGACTTAGCAATGGAAGCCTCATTGGCCACATCCAGATGAGCATGGATGTTTGGTTCCCTGGGGACAAGTAGCAGTGGCACACCTTGTGCTGACACCTTGTGCTGGTGCTACTTGTCCCCAGGAAACGCCTGTGTCACACACAGTCTGGAGTGTGGGGATCCCCAGGGCCAAGGAAGCTGCAGCTGTGGTGCCTCCTGCAGCAGGGACTCTGGCTAGCAGCTGGAGTGTGGCTCCAGACACCCAGGCTGCGGTTTTGGGTGGCGTGCACTGCCTCCATGTCCACCACCCTGCTTTTTCCCGCATGGGTTTTTTTGAACCCGGGATCTCTCAGAGTCAACCCTCCCCTCCCTTCCCTCCCCCCCCCCGCCTGAGTGTACAGTGTGTGGCACTGTAGATGGGCCTGCTGTACCACATACCACACAGTCACACTCCTCTGGATGTCACCATTGAGTTCCAATAACCACAAACTGTAAAATACCATGTTTACTCAAACAGAAGACAATCCTGATTATATGATGACCCCCTCCCCCACAGTAATTAGATCCTATATATGGAAAATGTATAAATTTGTTATAACTCTCCAGGTATAGAATCTAATGATTAGAGGTTTGCCTTGAATTTGTCCCCCCTCCCACTTGATACAAGAATTTTGTTCTATATGAAATATTCATTTTCCTGTTTCTAATGTCTCATGTAATATTATCAACCTTTACAAAGTCCAAATATGGGGGGTCAGATTGGTCTCTATTTCCTCCCAGTTTTTTTTTCCCTTGGCAACCCCTTTCCCCTCTTCTTACTATCAGTCCCTGCAGTCAGAGAGAGCAGGGAAATGAGAAGCAAATTTGAGAACAATTACCTTGAAACTAAACTTGGCTGTAGCAATTTCCACATAGTACCCATACATTTAGTTCTTCCAGAATTGATGCATATTATCTTTTCTTGAAACTGCTACAAGTTTTAGTATAGGTACTCCATAAACACACTTTTGAACAGCGCTTTGGTACCTACTTATATGTAGTACAAACTATGCATAACATTAGTCCAAATCCAAAGGTTTATGCTTTACCACACAGTTCATACCAGAGTCAATAGAGTTTCAAGCCATAGTGACCCCATTGCTCAGCATGGCTCAGTATGTATATGTATTCCAGATACCACCCCCACAAAGGAGCCATGTGTTAATTAGTCCCCACTCATGACTGCACCCAGGTCATGAGTCCTGGGCTGATCCAAAAATGAATATGTAGATGAGGTACAGGGCAACCTGGTCTGGCTTCACCTCATGAAAGGCAGGGCCACACTACTCATATGGGACAGGTTGAGAAAGGGAGGCTCAACAGAGGTATTTTGGGTGAACTGTTTGGGGGCCCATTTGGTAATGTTTATCAGACATTTAAGTAGGTGAAGAACGAGGAATCATTGGTAGGCATCTAACTAAATCACACCAGAAGTGTACTATGCAGCAGCTCCTTTAATCTTGGCTTTGTTGCTGTGTGCCCTCCCCCCAGCACTAATTGGTGAAGGAGCTCTAGTGGCTCCACCATTCACTCTTGATTGGCCAAGAGGCAAAAACTGTGGTTTTAAATATGCCTAGGGTTACCATATGTCCGGGTTTTCCTGGACATGACCTCCGATTTCCATCTGGGCAGTTTTTTTTAAATATACTGCCTGGGATTTTGTTCTTCTACCCCTTTTTCAATATCAATCCTGGCAGAACTGCCTTTCCTGGCTTGTCCTAGTGGCGTGCATATTTACCAGGGCTCCGGGTTTTCCATTTGCTGCAGAAAAACGTGGGTTTTCCTCTTTAGAGGAGGAAAGCACAAGTTTCCTCTTGCAAGCTGGCAGCCTTCCAGCCTGCAGAGTTGGGTGATTGGAGGCAAGGGGCACCACACATCTGTGCACACAGATGCACGTGGCTGGAATATAGCCAGGCAGGGTGACGGGAGCAGCCCCAGCAGCTGCATGTACATCTATGGGGAGTGGGGTTGGAGGGCCAGGGCTTGGGGACTGTCCAGCGGCTCTATGTGCATATGTGTGTCAGGGGGCCTGAGAAAGGTGTCCAGGCACTGGCATTGGAGGGGGGTGGCAGAAGAGGCATGTGCCCCTCCAGCGGGGAAAGGGGGCAGTGGGGCCCTTCAGGGGCAACAGGAAGCTGTGCGACTGGGCTGACAGCATAGGGGCTAGTGCCTGTGCTTGCAGGGGTGGGGCAGCTGGGTGATGTTGCCTGTCAGGGGGGCCTTGCCAGGCTGCATGGCATGGTGCAGGAGCCCATTAAGGGTGGGGGGTGCCACAGGCCTCCCCACCTCCTTCCTCTAGCCCGTGCCTGGGCCAGACTTGCTTCACTGCCACCCACACAAGTTGGAGCCACTACAGCTGCCACGCTCCAGCCTGGTCAGGCTGAGAGCAGCTGGGGGCCCCCTCCAGCAGGACTAGGGGAAGGGGGGGGTGCAGGTCAGGAGTGAGGGGCACTGGCAGCACAAGGGAGTAAGGGGCACCAGCATGGGACTCTGGCTTTATTTTTGTTTTACATTTAGTTTCTCAGGCAATAATGCTGGTTATTTATTGTTTAAGTTAGAAACTGCCCCCCCACCTTGCAATTATACACTACCCCTCCTGCCCACCCTCTCCCCCAACAGGTATCCTTTTTTTGGAATTGGAAATATGCTGTTGTTTTTGTCTCCCACCATCAATTGGCCAAGGGGCCCCAGTGGCCCCTCTGCTTGCTGCTGATCAGCCAGAAGACAAAAATTGTGGCATATTTAAAATCTGTGGGCTTTGCCTTCCATCTGAGCAATGGGTGTGAGTGGTGGGGCCACCAGGACATGTCTACTGGTCAGATGGATGAAGGGAGGGATAGGGAGGAGAGTAAAAAGAACAAGAAGCTGCTGTGCAGTGCACTTCTGCCATGATTTAGGTAGATCCCTAATCATTTGAAGTGGGGAAAAAAGGCATAGCTCAGGTGTGGGAGTAAAGAGGAAGTCAAAATATATGCAATGTAGTGGTTCACCATGATTTGAAAGTCAGCCATGAGGGGGATGGTGTTTAATGAGAACTATCAGAAGTCTCATTCAGCTGGGCTGCAGTAACCTATCCTTGTGGTAGGTTCCAAGCAGCAAGTTTGCCCAGTGTAGGCTATGTGTTTTATAGTCATGCTTAGTGGCAGCTGTGTTTAGTCAACTTCATAGGTGGTTTCCATTGCTGAGCACATGCTACTTTTGGCAGCAGTTTAATGACAAAGAAATCTCACAAAATATTTTGTCTACATGTGATTACAATGAGAGCCTCCCCCCACCCCACCATGCTAATTGTGGGGGGAAAACCTAATTTTGTATTCAAGTATATATGGTATAATTTCATTAGTTACTTACATTCTGATTTGGTCTAAGATGTTTTATGAAATAAGATACATGAGATCCACATGAAGTAGTGAGCTATAGCAGAGATACTATCAGATGTTAAGCAAGACACAGCTGGTTAAGCTATCGTGCACTTTTCTTTCTTAACAAAAAAAAATACAAATCTAGTAGTTTAGGACACGGATTCAAAGTATTAGACTCAAAGCACAGAAAGAAATTAAAAAGTGACAGGAATGTATTAGTTCTACCTTTCTTTAGAAGGCGGGATTGAGGCAATTTGTAACATCCCATGAACTGAATATGATAGAGAAGGCTGAAGGGTACTTAGGCCAACAAGTCTGGCTTAAAACAAAGCATAGGGGTTACATAGGAGACCATGGAATCTTACAATGGTATATTCATGCTATCAAATTACATTACTCTTCTGTTTTCCAGTCCCTGGCACTGTCAAAGCAGTTAATCCGAAGTGTGGAAAAGGAAAAGCTCTATGCAGTTAATTCCCAAGAGTGTGAGCAGATTGTGAAGAAATACTTTTCAAAGGAATCCATGAATGCATTTAAGAGCTTCTTTCAAAAAAAGTCAAAAAATGTAGCCACATAACCAAGAACGGAAGTAAAATACCTGTTTCTCTGATGGATTTCTTACTGCAATTTTGTATTTGTTCCTAGATTATATATAATCTTTCTAGATTAAATTTAGGATGGGTATAAGCAATTGTGCAGCTGACACGAGTTGACTGACTTCTTACATAGCAGGGCTGACCTCTGTATGGATTGATGTGCTCTTTCTTCTGGCCTTGGCATGCTTTACATGTCATCCCATATGTCAGGAAAAAAACAGCACCCTCTTTCAGGTCATGTTCTGTTACACAACATCCATTTTACTTTGTTTTGTTTTAGAAAGCAACTGTTCAGCAGACCCAGTTAGTAACACTAACCTTTGAACCCTTTGCTATACTTTGGATTTGGCCTCACCAGTCAGCCTGACATACAAGGGCAAAGCTGGGTCCTATGGTACTTCATAAGCTGTTGTCTAGAAGACAAGAAGAGTTTCTTCAATCTGTCTGTCTCCTATTCCTGTAATCAAGGGGAGGATCCAACTCTAAATAACCCTTTACCAAGAAAGCTAATAAATAGGGCTGTGCAAAGCTTCAGGTGGTGATTTGATTTGGAGAAGATTTGGTGGCCGAATTGAATCAGTGGACCAATTTAAAAGGTCCAGATCAATTCAAAGCTCTCTGAAGAGCTGGGGCTACTTATAGAGCCTGACTCACTGCTGCCTCTGGGTGGCCCCAGGAGGTGGGGGTCAGTGTCCACCATCTCTCATCTCTGGCCCCACGTGGGGGCCACTGTTCGCAGGCCAGCTGCAGTGCAGCTCCCTGCCCCCTCCCTCTCCTCATGGTGATGGGAAAGCACCTGCTGCAATGGTGTGGAGGTGAAGCACTTGTCATCCACCACCTGCTTCAGGCAGCCTGCTGCAGGCTAGGAGCATGGGCAGCAGCAGGGGGAAGCAATGAACCACTAAAGCCCAAGCCAGTCTGGCCCTGCAGCCCAGGAGTGAAGCTCAGTCCAGCCCAGCCCAGCCCAGCCCTGAATCCCAGGGTCATAGCTAGTTACTGGGCCAAGATAGCCCACCCCTCCCTCTCATACCAGCAGCGGCAGAGCAAGCCATCATGGCAGATGGAAGTGAAGCACCTGTCACTTGCCATCTGCTGGGTGCTCGGGTTGGGCTGCTGTGGGCTAGTTGCTGCCTATGCTCCTGAGGCGTGGGGCCGGGGAGGACTGGGCTATGGCAGTCCATTGCCTAGCCATGCCTCTGCCCAGGCTGCTGGCCTGCAGCAGCCTGCCCCGAGTTCCTGGTGCTGCCACAAGCAGACTGTGGGCAACAAGTGCTTCACTTCTGCCTGCTGCAATGGTTTGCTCTGCCACCAATGGAGGGAGGGGGCAGGGAGCCATGCTGCAGCCCATCTGCAAACTGCAGCCCCCCATGTGGGATGTAAGGCAGCAGACACTGACCCCTGCCCCTTGGGGCTGCATTGCCGCAGCAGGAGGCAGCAGTGAGTCAGGCTCCGTAACTAGCCCCAGCTCTGCCCTCTGCTTGCAGCCAGGTCACATCCCCGCCTCCATGTTCCCTCCCCGTGGCTGGCTGGGACTCGGCCCAAGGCCCCATGTCGGTGCCCTTACTGCTGCTGCCTGGAATGGGGGGATTAAACCGCCCCCCCCCCCCCCCCTTTTCTTCAGGCTACTAGTGTCTGGCCATCGCAGACCTAGGTGTACAAGTGAAACCTATGTTGCCCATGCTGTTCCCCCTCAGGCTTCCCCTCAGGCTACTGGGGTCTGGCTCTGCCCCTGCTCCTAGAGCAGCAAGGGTTGTGGGGGGCTGGAGATGCCTGAAAAGGGCTGCTTCTCCCCTGCCAGGCCGACCTAGTAGCACTCCATTGCAGGGTTTCACACTGCCACCCTTTTCTCAGCCAGCTGGAGTAGTGATAGTGCTCTGGCCAGGGAGGAGAGAGGCGGGGCCAACTGTTTGGCTGGAATAGAAAGCCCAGCCCACCCAGGGCTGCAGAGCATGCTGGGGGAGTCTGGTTTAACTTGAACCAGGAAGGGGTCTGGGACACAAAATTCTGTAAACTGGCTTGACCTTAAATCGGTTAAGTCTGATAAACCTGGTTGAATGTAGTATCTCAAACTGGTTTCTGTGCAATGAACTTATGTTCTGTTACAGGTTTAAACTAGTTTCTGATCACTTAAACCAGTTTGTGTGTAACTTATTCTCCCAGGGTAGAGACAGAACTTGTGCATTAAAGAACAGCATCTTAAACAGGAACAAAGTAATCTCATTTGGGGGAGTTAATAGTATGGAGCACATTGAGGTAAGTGGACTGAGAGGAGAAAAAGGGAATTATTAAAAGAAAAAAGGAGCAAGGGAAAGTAGGAGAAGAGGAAGCATTTGAATGGCATGGAGAGAGAGAGGAAACAGTTCAGAGAAGCAGGGGGGTGGGGATTCTTAATTGTAGGTACCCACATCTGAAAAAAATATTGGCCTGGTAGATAAAAAAAGATGCATCAACTTAATTAAAAAAAAATGCAGGCTTTTGGGGGGGGCTGGGGGCACAGAAATCCCTGAGGGGGGTGAGAATTGTAGATTTAAGCTGTGGTCATGCCAATGATTAATATGTGCCCCTACATGAACCGTTTAACAACATCATTTTGAAGAAAAAAAAAAAAGTGGAAGTATTACAGGCATGGAAGCAACCAGTTAATGTTATTTACCGAAATAAATGAACCCATTATTTCAGAATCTGGGCACTCAAGAAATTTAAGTATAACCTTGTAACATCCACACAAGACAGATATTTTACACACCTAATGGGAACCAAGAACACATTGGGCCAAATGTTTAAAAGGTATTTATGCAAGAGATTTATTTAACATGGTATCTTTTATTGGATCAACTGTCTAGTTGAGATAAGAGTTAGACAAGCTTTTGTATGCAACACATGAGAAGAAGCAACTTGTAGGATTTTCAAAAGTGCCTGCATCTTTATGCATTTACAATTCCTTTAAAGACCTAGCCCCAAGTGTTTTGCCAGAGATGCTTATGTTGGAGCAATGGAACCTGAGTTTTCCTAATCCCAGTATCGTGTTGTAATCATTAGACCGGCTATTCTCAACCAGGGTTCTGGGACACCAACGGATGCCACAAGGTCTGAAGAGATAAACAAGTAAGTGCAGGCTCAGGTCTGGCCTGGTTGTTCTCCTGCCCCTCTGCAAGGAGATAAACACTATAATAAAAAAGTTTGTTTTTGAAATGGGGTGCCACTCAGTTTACAAAAAAAAGTGGGGTGCCTTGAGTCTAAAAAAGATTGAGAACTACTGTATTAGATCATTCTCCATCTTCCAACCCCAACAATGAATACCATCACATATGATACTTAAGGACTTTTAAAAATAGTGCTAGTAGCAATTAACTTCAGTGTTAAAGGACTAATAAGGCAGAAACAAGAGCAAGTCACTACAAAGGAAAGCATCAACAACCCTAGAAGGAAAAAGGAGAGCTTTGTATTTTCACAGTAATCTCTAGAACCAAGAGTCCTGAAAATACAGGACATATCTAAAGTATCAAACTAACTCTCTGCTATCTGCATAGAAATTTTACAATATAGAACAAGAATACAAGTCACAGAAGAGAGTATTGTAAGATAAGATTTGGTGACACTAAATCTATACCAAACTCTCAATTCTGTATATCTTCAATATTTCACAGCTGAACAGTCCCACTGAGATCAGTGAAAATAGAAGGAGCTTTACACTTCCCAGAAAAGCTCAGTAGCTTGATGATTTAAGGAATTAGCAAGTTCCCAAATAGGAGCAATGTCATAGCTCATGTGCCATTCAGATGCATTTAAAAAATATAGTGTCTCAGTGAGTGAGCCTTAGTTAAACACAGGGTAGTTTTCATGGAAGTAAAAATCTGTATCAAGAAGGAAGGCAAACAGCAGTTGTCCTCTCTTGACCTTTCAGAGAGCAAGACAGTCTACTGCATCCTGACAAATTATTGCCATTTGGCTTCCAGCCAGCCCAGCTGTAGCTCATTTAAGTTGTCATAGGTGTAGCAAATACTGCTTCAATTCCTGTTGATGGGTATGGGCAATTACACTGTAGAAACCAACTCCTCATTACAAGGAGAGGCTGGAAGAAAGTAGATAGATGCTGGTCATACTGCTCAAAACAAAATCATTACTCCCTTCAGGATCTAAAGCTATTAAGGGCCTACTTCTCCATTAGATTTGACTTACACTGATGTAATCTCATTGAAATCAATAGGAAAAGAAGAGTTTGCATATGACTTAAGCCTTAAGGAATCTATGAGCCAGAACTAAAAGGAAAGAAAGAATGAAGTTTGTCCAAGTCAAAACATTGTAATCAAGCAACCCTCTCCATACCCCAGGAGCTTCCTAACCCTGGAACTGCCTAAACTCTTGTATCGGCCCACTTAACCTGAGCAAAAAAAAAAAAAAAAATTACCTATGCCGCTTGAGTTCTGCTCCTAACCCCTGCAGTTAACTAAGATCAGCTGGAAGCAATTGGGTAGGTGGCAGCCAGAGACATTCCTGGAGTCAGGATCCCTTGAGGGCAAATTATCCTGCCTGTTGCCTTGCTTAGGTGCTTCTACTCCAAAGAAGTGGGACATCCCTAAGCTTTTGACCCCAGCAGCAGTAGACCTGATCCTGGAAGCTCTGAGCATGAGTTCAGCAAACCATTCTTTTCCATGCCTATCCCCTTCACTGTAGTGTGCTTGAAACTGACCCAGGCACTGCCACCTGTGAGCACAGAAGCCTGCCAACAACCACCCTATAACTTCTTGGTCCTTTCTTCCAGCCTTTCTGCAGTTCATTTCTACTGCCTGAAGCCAAAGTGAAACCCAGAATGAGAGACAAGTTGCCCACAAAAATTCCTGGAAGGGCTCCATTTGAAAACCATAAAGTAGAAGTTCAACAACCACAGCACAGGCTACAAAGTGCTGCACAGATGTAGACAGATATCACATCAGGACATGGGTGCCCAGATTTGGGGCCTCTCAGGGAATCAAGGCACCTACCAGGTTAGAAT